GGGGGGGGGGGGGGGGGGGGGTTTCAGCAGGGTATAGAAAGCCGTCCATTTAAAGCAATAAGCAAACCACACAGTTTTAACATCATTTATTAAAATCACTCGACTTTACACACTAACTTCCTCCTTTTACACTCTGTGAATTATTCCATTACACATTCACATTCTGCTGCCAATACTTGATTTGACCAAATTTAAAATGAGTTGTTCTTTTGGAGGCATGTCAAAAAAATGAATCAATAATGTCTGCAGTTTGTTCTTGATGTTTTTAAATGGATAGTTCTGATAAAACTGCTCAATTCTGTCATTATTTATTCATGTTGTTTACAATTGACAAATAGGCTGAAACTACAGTAGACTTTTTTTAGATTGACATAAATTCATTGCTGTGTGGATGGGGCCTAAACGAATAATGTTCAATGAATAATATCTGAAAGATGACCAGAAAGCTAATAAGCTAGCAGTATGGCACTTATGTAATCATTAGCAGATGTTACATCTCTTTCCATATTTACCCCCTTATTGCTAACATGTGCCCAGCTCTACATTTTTACACCCCCTTTGGGGGTGAGGTGTCTGAATAACATGGTTGAGAACTGGGTTGTAACGAAGGGTCTGACACAGAGGGATCTATTTGCAGTACGTTTATTAAACAGTTTAATAACAAACACACAGTTTGCACTGGTGCATGAACTCACATGAATCACAGGCTTATAAGGTCGATTGGCTGGTGGCTGGCGTTCGTAAGTCAAAGTAACAGGCATGGTCAGAGGCGAGGATCAAGATCGGTAATACAGTTCAAGGTTCAAGGCAAGCGGCAGGCAAGACAAGGTAGAGGAACAATCCGGATTGGCAACAGGAGACCAGGCAAGGATGAATAACGCTCAGAAATGTCTGCAAGGCAGAACAAGACTTCGCAATGAAGTGTGAGTGAGAGCTGCTCATATGTGTGTGTGTGTGTGTGATGAGGAAACGAGTCTCATGTGTGGTAATCAGTGTCCTGAATGGGTTGTGGATGATGTAATGTTCAATAGTCTGGTGATGATGACCTCTGCTGGCCAGCGAGGGGAATGACTGTGACCGAGTCGATGACACGTGTACTGTTTGCTGTGGTGTTAATAACTGTACTATGAAGCGTGTTTTGGGCGGCCACTGCGATCGGATCCTATACCAATGTTGGCAATCCAGGGGTTTCACATTCCAAAATGCTGAGGACTGTTGGGGGTGGGTTAAATTAAGTAATTTAGGAGAAATAACAAAACGGGAGGGTGGCGGGAGACTCCCGGAAAAAAAAAAACAGAAGTGTTGGCAGGTAGGAATAAGTCCCAGTAAGCTTCAGTAACTTGTGTGTAAAGGGAGCAAGAGTTGTTGGCGTCATCCTGCCCTGTAACGTTTGTTTTACCTACAAACTGCAGGCAAATATATGTTGAAGCGTGTTTTCGTGGTTTACATTTACATGTAGTCATTTGGCAGAAGGCTTACAATTAAGGAGACATTCAGCAAATCAACATAAAATCAACACAAACTTGTCTAATGAACCCATAATATCTCCTCTTGGTCAGTTCCAGTCTCGGAGCCCATGCTGAAGCCCCAGGAGACGACGGTGACCGAGGGCTCGGATCTGGTCCTCACCTGCAGTGTCCAGGAGGGCTCTTACCCAATCACCTTTACCTGGTACCATAACAAGCTTCTTCTGCTCTACTCCAGACAAGAGGTCCAATCCTCAAAAGGAAGTCACATCGTTAAAATGATCACGCGAGACCAAAGAGGAGACTACCACTGCGAGGCGTCCAATCAAGCCCTTGAAACCAAGCAGAGTAAACCGGCAAGAATTGGAGGTATATTTGAAATACCACACTAACACACCACTGATCACATAGACTGACAATTTTCAAATATTATCACCTTATTATCATCTCAGAAAGATGTCCATAACAGAGAGATATCCATAATTATTTTATATACACATTTTGCTTATGCATTTTAATTCAAGTAATATAGTTTATCCTAAAACTTCTATCATTTTTGGTCACGTCCTCAACATATGTACAGTTTATTTTCCTCATTTAAAATATAAAACACATTTTCTTGGACTCAAAAAAGAAAAATTAAATAACTATAAAAAAGTTTGAGGACAAACTTTATGGTGGCTTGAGAAAGCCTGTTGGAAATAGTTTATTTCCCTCCGGAAAAATCCAGCTTAAACCAACCTAGGCTGGTTGGCTGGTTTTAGCTGGTCGAACAGCCTGATTTTAGAGGGGTTTTGGCCACTTTGAGGCTGGTTTCCAGCCATTTCCAGCCTGGTCCTAGCTGGTCAGGCTAGGAGATGACCAGCTAAAACCAGCCTAGCCAAGCTGGGAGTCCAGGCAAAACCAGCTATATCCAGCTTAAACCAGGCTGGTCAAGCTGGTTTCAGCTGGATTTAGCTGGTAATTTTCCAGCCTGACCAGCTAAGACCAGGCTGGAAATGGCTGGAAACCAGCCTGGAAATGGCCAAAACCCCTCTAAAACCAGCCTGGTCAACCAGCTAAAACCAGCCAACCAGCCTAGGCTGATTTGAGCTGGATTTTTCAGCAGGGTAAAAAAGCATCAAGCTGGATAAAGAATGTTGCTTTAGTCTTTAAAGTTATCACTTTAAAGACTGAAGAAAGCCAGTAAAAAGCTTTAAAGGTGATCCCTGTGCTCGGTGGTTAGTAATAGCATGATTCTAGCATGATTCCAGCATGAATTAGCATGTTGTTAGCATGATTGCAACATGAATAAGCATGTTGTTAGCATGATTCCAACATGAATTAGCATGTTGTTAGCATGATTCTAACATGAATTAGCATGTAATAAGCATGATTCTAGCATGAACTAACATGTTAGGTCATCAGTTCATTAATTAGCATGTTGTTACCATGATTCTAGTACAAATTAGCATGCTATTAGCATGATTCCAACATAAATTAGCATGTTGTTTCTAGCATACATTAACATGCTGTGAGCATGTTTCTAACATGAATTAGCATATTGTTAGCATGTTTCTAGCATGAATTAGCTAGTTGTTAGCATAATTCACGTATGAATTAGCATGTAACTAGCATGAATTTAACATATTTCTATTATGATTTTAGCATGAGTGCAGCAAGAATTACCATGTTATTAACATGTGCTAGCATGTTTCTTGCAAGATTAGCATGTCAGAAGGATGTTAAAACAATTAGCATGTATTAGAACAGCTAGTCAACAGTCTGAGACAGTTGCTAGGGTGTTGTAAGGGGTTGTTGGGGCGTGTCTAGTATATTTAAAGGTGATTACCCTGCTGAAAAATCCAGCTTAAACCAGCCTAGGCTGGTTGGCTGGTTTTAGCTGGTTGACCAGCCTGGTTTTAGAGGGGTTTTGGCCATTTCCAGGCTGGTTTCCAGCCATTTCCAGCTTGGTCTTAGCTGGTCAGGCTGGAAAATTACCAGCCAAATCCAGCTAAAACCAGCTTGACCAGCCTGGTTTAAGCTGGATATAGCTGGTTTTGGCTGGACTCCCAGCTTGGCTAGGCTGGTCAAGCTGGTTTTAGCTGGTCATTTCCCAGCCTGACCAGCTAAGACCAGGCTGGAAATGGCTGGAAACCAGCCTGGAAGTGGCCAAAACCCCTCTAAAACCAGCCTGGTCGACCAGCTAAAACTAGGATGGTTTAAGCTGGATTTTTCAGCAGGGTAGCTGCTGGCTAGACTGAGTTGAATGAGGCCAGAATAGTCTGTGGATGCGTAGTTCTGAGCTTACAAAGGTTGATCCAATGTTAAGTCAATGACAGTCTTTTACATCTATGGGACAGTTGCTAGGGTGCTGAAATGTGTTGCTAGGGAGTGGCTAGGAATTATAAAGGTCATCAGTGATTGGCTGCTGGCTAGACTGAGTTAAATAAGCCAATCTTAAGTATGTGGGACAGTATGATGCAGAGTTATGAGCTCACAAAGTTTGACCCAATGTTAAGTCAATGGGACTTTTCGGAATTTTCTGAGTCGTTTTTCGGTAAACTGAAAGTCGGATCAGTGGGAAAAGATAAAGATTTAATATGATACATTGTTATAAGTGCAAGACTTTTGTCTAAGCACAGTCAAACCTTTCTGTCCTAATTAAATCATTAAAGATCAAGGCATGATCATCTTGTGGTCAAGTAAGCGTTTAATGTTACATTACAAATGACATGTAAACAGTAGCACATTAAATCAAAGAGTAAAACACGTTTAGCTACAAGCATGAGTAAACTTCTGTCCTTAAACTGTGAAAATGTTCATTATTCTCTGTGTTTTTACAGTCAGTTTAGCGCTGTGGAAGAAGGCTCTTATCGGAGTCCTCTGTATCCTGCTGTTGGTGGCGATTGTCGTAGTCCTGACAGTCTTTTTTAAGAAAACGTCACATCCGCGCAGAAAAAGGCAAGCGACCGAGCTATCAGTGTAAGAGATCCATCCATATCTGTTTCACATCTACATCTATTTTCAATGTGCATCAATTCTGTTGCATTAGGATTTTTTTTCTTTTCAGAAAACCTTCAAGACCCAAATCAGGAGACCCCATGAGAATGAGCCTCACACTCGATATTGAAGACAACACCGTCCTCAATGGTAGCTCATTATCATCACATTAATATTAATACAGTCCATATGGCGCATTTTGAACCTGTTGTGTGTTTTAGGAAAGACGCTACAAAAAAAAATTTATAATTAAAATCATCATCCTTTTTTACACTGATAACCCCGCTAAAAAATTCAGCTTAAACCAGCCTATAGGCTGGTTGGCTGGTTTTAGCTGGTCGACCAGGCTGGTTTTAGAGGGGTTTTGGCCACTTCCAGGCTGGTTTCCAGCCATTTCCAGCCTGGTCTTAGCTGGTCAGGCTGGGAGATGACCAGCTAAAACAAGCTTGACCAGCCTAGCCAAGCTGGGAGTCCAGCCAAAACCAGCTATATACAACTTATACCAGGCTGGTCAAGCTGGTTTTAGCTGGATTTGGCTGGTAATTTTTCAGCCTGACCAGCTAAGACCAGCCTGGAAATGACCAAAACCCCTCTAAAACCAGGCTGGTCAACCAACTAAAACCAGCCAACTAGCCTAAGCTGGTTTAAACTGGATTTTTCAGCAGGGAAAAAAAGATTAATAGGATTAAATAATGATTAAATAATTGATATGGGCTGAATTTAACTAAACAAATTCTATTTAGTAATGTTTAACCTAGGTTGTTTCTTAAGTCATTCATTTTCTTTTCGGCTTAGTCCATTTATTAATCTGGGAATCGCCAATTTATCCAGCGTAAGTTTTACACAGTGGATGCCCTCAAAGCTGCAACCCATTACAGGGTTACCCAATTCCCAATTGGCCTACCCAGTTCACCTATAGCATGTGTTTGGACTTGTGAAGGAAACCATAAGGAAACCCAAGCGAACATTCAAACTCCACACAGAAACACCAAGTGACCCAGATGAGGCTCGAAGCAGTGACCTTCTTGCTGTAAGGCGACAGCACTACCTACTGCGCCACCGCACTGCCCAATTTCGAGACTAGTTCAGTTAATTTGATGTATTTGGCAATGTCCGGCCTTTCCCTTTTTATGGTCCATCTCTGACAATTAGCTTGTGTTGCACTTACTGTGTGTTTGACCAGATTTTGATTATGTAACCTCAGATTAGGTCGGCCCATCTCGAAACCGGTCGTTGCCGATTGGGCAAATGCTTAACATTTATTATTATTCTTACTATTATTATCATCATCATGATAATATTCACATCTCGCACGAGATAAAAGCTGCCTACACGTAAAAACAATACATATGAAAAATAGCTGACTGGCCCACATTTAAAAAATGGTCCGGCCCTTCTGGCATTTGCCAGAATTGTCAGATGGCCAGTCCGCCCCTGCACAGGGGTACCAACAACTGGTACCAACAAAACTGGCAGATTACAGAGCTGTGTTTGTACTGCAGGCACAGCAAAACCTGGTACTGCTGTATCATCTAGCACAGTGTGAGGTTTGTTCTGTAGACAATCAAAAAATATATTGCTTTAGAGGGCTAATAATATTGACCTTAAAATAGTTTTAAAACTGCTTTTATTCTAGCCGAAATAAAACAAGACAGACTCTCCCATTTTACTGACTTTTTTTTCAAACTAGAGGTGTGAAAAAAGACGGGGATCATAGCCCTTTAAGTAATGTCTAGCATATAAATTTAAATAACTGAATTGAAGCTTGTAGGTTAAAACATTCTACGGGTAAACTAGAGCGAATAATGCAATGTTCCCAGCGTAAGAAAGACTTGTGTATGAATTAACTGATTAAGAAGAAGGTAAATAATTGAACAATTTATGTTAAAGGGCACCTATTATGCAAAAATCACTTTTATTAGAGGTATAAACACAGTCACGTGACAACGGTCAGTGAATATAACCTGCTTCTAAAAGTAAAATGCTTTCATTTTATTGGTTATAATCGCGCTTGATAATAATAGTCTGCAGAAACACTTTGATTGACGTTCTCCCTTTGTATGATGTCATCAGAGGGAAAAGCCCCGCCCACTAGTCACCATCTCTCATTAGCATAGGCAGTTAGTCTTGTTTTGAATCTGCCACTTTGCTGACACACTTTTCTAGCTCCGCCCCCATAAATGATATCACAATCTCATTTAAATTTAAAGCGACAGCAACCAAAACATCCCAATAGAGATCAAAGCCTAAAAGGGTCAGATTCAGAGAGTCATAAAACATTATTTGTTTGGTATTTTGAGTTTAACCTATATATCCACACTCTAAGGAAATGAAAGATTTATTTTACATCTTGTAAAAAGGGCATGAGAGGTCCGCTTTAAATCATACTACAAAAATGCATCTTATAATACTGGTTTTTGTTTGTGCCTTTCAGGAACTCCCTGTGTGATGGGCAGGAATGTGTGGAGCGAAAATGCATCTGGTTCAGGTAGGGATCATGATGATGAACGAAAGGATGATGTCTGTGTGAAGTGAGTTAATCTAACGATGCTTTAAATCACGCTAGATTCTGACGATCACACCGATGAGGAGTCTGAGCTGGTTCAACCAGAGCAGGCAGATCCCAGCAGAGGTGAGAGCTTCAAAGATTATTAATGATCAATAAATCCCTCGAATGCTTGTCTTTCGACTGCCAAAACTATCCACACTTGGTACTGCTTGCATGTTCTCCCCATGTTTGCATGGGTGTGCTGGTTCCCTCAGTCCAAAGACATGCGGTATTGACTTTATTCTGTGGGTGGTGGTGCGCTTGTCTTTGTGATTGTTTTAGGACTTCCAACTGAGTCACCTATGGGAGAAATGACTAGGATTTATGCTCTACAAACAAGTGTGTTCATGAATATACATAAAAATTAGAACAATATAATAAGAAAACATCAGTTTGCAAGCTTAACGAGCTGTTTTTACCATCTATAAATTAATGGAGGTGAATGAGATTGGATGTTTCAAGCCTAAAAGATTCCAATAGCTGCGCCTACTCATCCGCAAGTAATGAGGTCAATAGTTGATTTGGGTAAACTAAATTGGTTGTAGTGTATGAGTGTTTGTGTGTGTGAACGAGAGAGTGTATGTGTGAGAGAGTGTATATAGAGTACTCTCCGTTCAGGAAGGCATAAAACATATTTCAGAGTAATTGGTGGTTCATTCCATGGTGGCAGCCCCTGATAAAGCAGGGAATAAGCCAGAGGAAAGTAAATGAGAGAATAATTTTACATGTTTTGCTCACAGAAGTTAATTATTTCAATTGTAAACGAGAGGAACTTTTGACACATTTAGACGTGGCATGTGAACGATCCCGTAAACAACAATGGAGGACATGAAGTAGATCCTGTTCTTCTTTCTCGGTGTCATGTTTTAACTGTGTCTTTAAAAAACATGTGTGGTGTCATTCTCATGACCTGTAGCATATAATAGTGCTAGTTCTCTGTAAACCAATCAGTGAAAAGCAGCGAGTCAAGCTCCACCCTTTTTGGTACCATACCACCCTTTTGATCTCAAAAAGTGTCACAGCAGTAATGGCCCTTTTCCACTGAGTGGTATAGTATGGTACAGGTCGGTATGGGTCTCCTTTATCACCTGTTCAGCGTCTCGGCCTTTTGGTATCCTTTTGTTATGCTAGGTACCCTTTGCAAAGGGTACCCAAAAAGTGGTACGGTTTTTGGTACTTTTTGACAGTGGAAATGGCCATAAAAGCGTACCGAACCATACCATACCACTCACTGGAAATAGGCCATAAGGTTAGCTATTTTGGCACTTCTGATAGTGGAAATGAAAATAAACAAATACCCAGAACTTAACTTGTGCTGGAAGAAGCCAGACCTCATTTTTGCATCACTACCCAATGGAAAACATACTCACTGACCTGGAGCTTGCATATATTTAATATATAAAGCTGATTGATATAATAATAATAATCCACCCTTTAAAATAAAAGTTTTACTAAAAAGTACAAAAAATATTCCACATTACTAAACAACTTCTGTCATTCGTGGATGCTAATTTGTTTGCGATTTGCCTCTTTTATGGTCCATTTTAGTCAACTTAAAATATTAGTGAATGGCATTCTGTAATGTGAAGTGAAGCTGACAACATGGGTGCGGATCCAAACGCAGGTTTATTTACCAGAATGTTCAGGCAAGCAACGGTCAACACAGGAGCTAACAGATGTATACAGGCAAATCCAGATTTGTAGTCAAAATAACAGGCGAGTGGTCAGAGGGCAGGCAGCAGACAGGGATAAACTATAAAACAAACAAAACAAAGTGAGGGTTAAAACCAGCTAGACAAGGCAAGGAAAATGCGTTGTTATGTTACAGAAACAGGTAACAAGACTCAGCAACTGTGTGTGTGTGTGTGTGTGTGCTCTTTTATAGTCCTTTTAATCAGTCTTTGACAATCCTGTGTGCCTGCAATCAGTCAGGATTAGGAACTGCTGTGTGTGTGTGGTGCATGACTGGATTTTGTAGTCTATGAAATTATGGATTTGTAGTCCTTTAGCGATCCATGTGTATACCAGCACGGGCTGGATCGCTGGTGACCGTGACACATGATCTTGATTTTCTTTGGTATTGCAGTATTGGATACATGTTTATTGTTAAACAACAAAACCGTGAGTCCAAGGCAATCAAAAAAGCAAGAGAAAAAATTTGAAAGATTTTATTAAGATGGTGCTGTTTTTAAATAACAGCCGTGTAATACTTTTCAAGTGCCTTGGACTTGTGTTTTCATTGTTTATCTTTATGAATCTCTTATTCAAAGAGCACCGACACATTATTAACTACTCCTGAAGCACTTTTTGCGCATACAGTGCATTACAGTAATCTAACAGAGTGGTCACAAAAGCATTGAATACTGTCTCAAACTGTTGTTTTGGTATATATTGCATTATTTTTGCTAGTTGTCTTAATTGTAAAAGGCTAGATTTAACTACCGCTCTAATCTAGTTGTCAAACTTAAATCAGCATAGATGGATTCCATTGTATTCCTGTGATTTGCATCGCATAAAATAAAGATGATGCACCACCTCTTCCACCAATTTCTTGAGCTCTGATACATGGTTTATCTACAAAGCACCACAGTGCTTGTGTGCTCGGCGTTTCTCCAAGGTGATTATTATTCTGCTGAAATGTGTATAATGAATTCAAAATGTGAAGCTGATTGTTTTCTTGTCACATGCGCTTGCGGCATTCCTGTTCTTTTGCTCTAGGCGTGCATGGAAAAAGCAAGAGTGTTGCTCTCTATTGGTCTACATTTATAATAATGAACTTGAGCATATAAAAGATGCCATGTCTAAATATCTGGATGGCTGTTTAAATGCAAGTCATCATGGAGAACTTGGAAAAAAAGGAACTTTACAAAGATTGTTCAATATTTAGCTTAGCTGCGCTCATTACATGGCGTCTGTAGTCCTATCCCAGGAGCAAGTTTACATAAACATCAGGCCTCCCGAAATATTTTTTTTCTAAATTATATTTTAAATACAACCCCAAATCAGAAAAAGCTGGAACAGTATGGAAAACGTAAAAAAAAATATTTTTACAAATACAAACATTTTAAAAATATTCATTAAATATTTAGCTAAAAAATATTGCTACGTTTAAAAATGAAAAACATTTTTTTTTTGTCTATATGTCAACATTGTATTTGTCTATGCTGAATATCAGATTTGCACAATCCATATAGTTAAAGTCGTTAACCCATGATTGGTCTGTGGCAGTTTTTGGGTGTGGCTTAGCGAAGGGTCTAATTTCAATTTGCATTCTAAAAAACTTTGTTACATTTAAAAATGAAAAACTTTGTACTTGTCTATATATAAACATTGTTTTTGTCTATACAGAGTATCAGATTTGCACAATCTATATAGCTACAGCCGCTAAGCCACGATTAGTGTGTGGCAGTTTTTGAGTGTGTCTTAGCGAAGGGTCTAATTTAAATTTGCATTATAAAAAACATTGTTACATTTAAAAATGAAAAACTTTGTATTTGTCTATATATAAACATAGTATTTGTCTATACAGAGTATTAAGTTTGCACTGCAGTCGCTAAGCCACAATTGTTCTGTGGCTATTTTGGTGTGACTTAGCGAGAGGACAATTTGCATGCTAATAAATATTGTTACGTTTAAAAATGAAAAACTTAGTTTTTGTCTATATACTGTAGCTACAGTCGTTAAGCCACAATTGGCCTGTGGCAGTTTTCGGATGTGGCTTAGCAAATAGCGAAGGATCTCATTTTTAATTTGCATTCTAAAAAACATTGTTACATTTAAAAAACGAAAAAAAAAATTTATTTATTAATTTTTAATTAATTAAAATTAATTATTTTAAAAATTAAAAACGTTTTATTTGTCTATATATAGACATTATATTTTTCTATACCGAGTATAAGATTTGCACAATCCATATAGCTACAGTTGCTAAGCCATGATTAGTCTGTGATGGTTTTGGGGGGTGGCTTAACGAGGGTCTAATTTAAATTTGCATTCTAAAAAACATTGTTACATTTTAAAAACGAAAAAAAAAAATTATTTGTCTATATATAAACATTGCATTTGTCGACCGAGTATCAGATTTGCACAATCCATATAGCTACAGTTGCTAAGCCATGATTAGTCTGTGACGGTTTTTGGGTGTGGCTTAACGAAGGTCTAATTTCAATTTGCATTATAAAAATATTGTAAACATTTAAAAATGAAAAGCTTTGTATTTGTCTATATATAGACATTGTATTCATCTATATTGAATATCAGATTTGCACAATCCACATAGCTACAGTTGCAAAGCCACGATTGGTCTGTGGCGGTTTTCGGATGTGGCTTACAAAGGTCTACTATCAATTTGCATCCTAAATATTTTTGTTACATTTAAAAATGAAAAACATTGTATTTGTCTACCGAGTATCAGATTTGCACAATCCATATAGTTACAGTTGCTAAGCCATGATTAGTCTGTGATGGTTTTTGGGTGTGGCTTAACGAGGGTCTAATTTCAATTTGCATTCTAAAAAACAGTGTTAAATTTACAAATGAAAAACACAGTATTTGCCTATATATCAGATTTGCACAATCTATATAGTTACAGTCGCTAAACCACGATTGGTCCGTGGCGGTTTTCGGATGTGGCTTAGCGAAGGTTCTAATTTCAATTTGCATCCTAAATAATATTGTTAAATTTAAAAATGAAAAACAATGTATTTGTCTATATATAGACATTGTATTTGTCTATACTGAGTATCAGATTTGCACAATCCATATAGTTACAGTCGCTAAGCCACGATTGGTCTGTGGAAGTTTTCGGGTGTGGCTTAGCAGAGGGTCTAATTTCAATTTGCATTCGAAAAAATATTGTAAACTTTTAGAAATGAAAAAAAATTTTTTGTCTATATTTGCCTATATATAAACATTGCATTTGTCTATACCAAGTATCAGATTTGCATAATCCATATAGCTAAAGTTGCTAAGCCACGATTGGTCTGCGGCAGTTTTCGGATGTGGCTTAGCGAAGGGTCTAATTTAAATTTGCATTCTAAAAAATATTGCTACAATATTTTTTAGAATGTTGCAATATTGCTACATTTAAAAACGAGAAACATTATATTTGTCTATATATATTTTTTTTTCATCAGAAATTCCCATGCCGAAAAACGCGGAGGATGAATACATCATCCAGCACACAGAAGTCCAGGTGTCGACACCAGGTGAGTTCAGATCTACACAAACACAGCGTGACAACACTGAAAGAGACGCGGAGGCATTGTTCATATGTGTGTAGTGTTTTTCATCCAGCATGAGATGCAAGGTGGACGTTTCCTGTTCGGGTAGGAAAGACTTTCCTGTTTTCACAATGGGCCCTGGAGCCTCGTGTTCCTCGCAGAAACTTCGGCTATTGTTTCCTCAGCGTGAATAAACACTCAGCAGCCCCCTGTTCCCCAGTTGATTAATAGCAAGAGCTCTTGCTAATCATTGAGGTATGCATGCGAAACAATGCAGGGGTCACGCAGGAATGGGTTTTGGCGTGCCCACGTATTGCCAAAACAATAGCAGCATCTGGAGGGAAACAGATTACTAGCGCATTAGCATGGCACTGACGCGATAAGCCCGAGGCGGGCACTGCACTGCCTGCTAAATGGAGTTGGTTCAGGAAATTTGAGCTGTTGTTGTTAAATATTGATCCTTTTTTTGCCAGCTGTTTTAATGCTGGTTCCTTTGTGTTTTTGTAGGAGTTCCGGAGCAGGCAGAGGGCGTAAGTTGACACACAGACACATAACTCCACATCTAGGTGCTGTTTGTACATATAGGCATAGTTTTGACACAAGGAGGCCCTCTTGTGGAGGTAATAGGTACCACAGAAGAAATTGCACAGTGTACATTAAATCGTACATCTGTAGTCTTAAATAGAATAGTGCAGCTCATACTTTTATCTCATTTAATTTAGTAAATTTTATAAAGCCTGGTTTATACTGCATAAAAAAATCAAGATTTTATCTGTCCATCCCTTTAAAAGATTTTATTTTTTTAAACTTTTGACTTTTTTATGACATTTAAGCACACTTTGCAAAAATGTCAAATTTTGTACTCCTCCCACTAACTTCGCATTACTGTATAAGCCTAATTGTAAAATGACAGTAATGGATTGGTGCGGTATGGGTGGGTCACCTTTATCAGGCTTGCGTTTCCACTTCCAGTGGTCTTTATTGGATTGAGATCTGGTAACTGTGGAGGCCACTTGAGTACAGTGAACTCATTGTCATGTTCAAGAAACCAGTCTGAGGTGATTCCCGCTTTATGACATGGTGTGTTATCCTGCTGGAAGCCATCAGCAGATTGGTACACTGTGGTCATAAAGGGATGGACATGATCAGCAACAATACTGGCGTTGACACGATGCTCAAATGCTACTAATGGATCCAAAGTGTGCCAAGAAAATATCCCCCACACGAATACACCACCACCACCAGCCTGAACCATAGATACAAGATTGGATGGATGCATGCTTTCTTGTTGTTGACGCCAAATTCTGACCCGTCCAGCCGAATGTGTCAGCCGAAATGGAGACTCATCAGAGCAGGCAACGTTTCTCCAATCTTCTATTGTCCAGTTTTGGTGAGCCTGTGTGAATTGTAGCCTCAGGCCCTGTTTACACTAATGCGTTTCAGTTTGAAAACAGTTTGCTACGGTTACGCCATCTGTCCACACTACGCCGGAGTTTTCGAGCGCTGAAAATGGAGCATTTTGGAAACACTGGAGAGCCCGTTTTCATTCTGATGCGCTGCTGCTCGTCTCAGTGTGGATGGGGGAAAACGGAGACATCTGTAAACGGAGGCGGGGCTGCTGAGATTCACTACCTGATTGGAGCTTTTGTGTCATTGCGTGTCCTTCCCTTATTCGTCAAGCCCCGATCACATGACAATAACACATGGCTTTAACGCTACCGGAAGACAGCAGACCAGCCTTCACTGTAAACAACAACACGGACACAGAAATGGGAGCGTTGTTTGCACTATTGTCCGTTTTAGGCGCTGTTGCGAATTAAATTAAAAATCCTTAATCAAAAAAAAGAGATTTAACCAAAACATAACAAAATAACAGGGATTAAAAATATAATCCCCGGTGCCCCCACGCGCTCTCTCCCCAAAATATATACAAAACACAACCACTGAGAATTAACAAGAAAATATGATTTATTCGCAGAAATAAGGAGCAAAAATAACATCAGGAGGGATTCAGCCAAAATAAATGACAATAAACCAAGCTAACTAAATTAGATTAAACTTCCCTAGAAAACAAATAAAATAAAATACAGAAAACTTACCTGCCTACTAACAAACACAGGAGAAAACGAAAATACCAAATAAGGCACCGAACCTCCCTGCATGCTCCAAGCCCGACAGGGAGACAGAAAACCGGGCTTCAGTCGCCGGTTAAAAATTAACAACAACACATCGGCATCTCACATAACGCCACAAAGAGATAGAAGCAAACACTCATTTGATCGCTAGTCTCCACTGAGCACAAACAGGGAATCGAAAGAGAGCGGGAAGCCATCGAACCCATGTTCTCTGCAGGTTTTTATAGCCGCCGCTAATCCAAGGGCCAATCATTATCCGTCCCAACGTAATCTGCTGCACCTGCGAATACTTAGAGCGAGAAAGAGAGCGAGAGAAAGAGAATGAGAGAGAGAGAAACACCACACAAAAGCCTACACTACTCGTAACATTGTACAGTTATTCATTTGTTACGTTTAGTAACAACTCGACCTCGTCGTCTGTCCACAATAATACCTCTCTTGCTTTCTTTGCCATCGTGTTCATTGTTCAACCGGCGTTTGTTGACTAACAATAACCAAATGCCAAGCGAGACACATACTTCCTGTTTATACTAGAACGCGCATGCCCAGAGTGCGCGAATGGTCACGTGATATACGTTTTTGATGGCGTAGTGTGAATGGAGATATGTCTAGAAACGCTAGGTGAAACGCTAGTGTGGACGCGGGTCATTTTTGATCTAAAACGCCATTTTAAAACTAAAACGCTCTAGTGTAAACAGGGCCTCAGTTTCCTGTACTTAGTGACAGAAGCTGCACCCGGTTTGGTCTTCTGCTGCTGTAGCCCATCCGCCTCAAGGTTGGACGTGTTGTGTGTTCAGAGATGCTCTTCTGCAGACCTCGGTTGTAGCGAGTGCTAATTTGAGTTACTGTTGCCATTCAGATTAATAAAGGGACGAAGCTGAAAAGAAAATAAACGATTGCTTTTGTTGTTTTATCAAATAATTGCAACTTGGAAGAGCACTTTCAAAAACAGTTCAAAAAACTCATCGCAACAAATATTATATTTTCTTACTATAATACATTCAACTTTATTATCTGCAAGTTCTTCATTAATTAGTAAATATGATAATAATAAATGATTGTTTAGACCATGATTCTGCAAACTACTGAGTGAAGCTTATTTTTGTCTCTCAGCAGGCGGCTCTGGAGTATGTGCAACTCAACAACAGTGAACAGGAGACCCATGACACATAATTTATTCAGCTTTTCCACCGACTGAAGCTGATTTTCCGTTACCAAGCTCATGCTGAACATTTTTCATATTGGATTGTTTGCTGTTTTGTGATGATTGTGTGTCTAGATTAAAATCTGAGCATCAGATCAAGTCTTTTGTGGTTCTGCTTTGTTTTTTCCTTATTGGCGTTGTTTTTCTAAGGACTGCGAGGAACAGGAAAGACATCTCTTCTTTCAGGGTGTCACTGAGCCGCTGGAAAAAGGAAGTCTTTAAAACATAAGCCGTTCAAAAATGTCCTTTTAGGATCTGAAGCCTCTGCATATCTGTTTGAAATGTCCTTAGGAAAAGCTGCTGTAACATTATTGCAAGAATATCTGATGAGTTTAAAAACCTTTCGAATTTTTTTTTTAAGGTTTTTATTTTTTAAGGTTTTGAACTGCGCTGATTAATGTTGTAAACATTCTGAGACTGAAATGTGAATGCTGTCATTAAAAGTACCAGCATAGGCTCATTCTGAAACTGTACCTCTATATACATTTCTGGAGATCGTGAATTAAGTAGCTAGAAGCTGTATTTCGCCTTTAGGTCAAACGTTACAGGACAGTATGCACGCTTGCCTCCATATGAATGGCTTTTCCACTGTTACCTGTTACAAATTGACGTGACGTGCCGTTGACAGTTATGACGGGTTTTGAGTCCAGCGAAGAACAGTCGCAAGAAGCAGGTAAGCCAAAAGCCAAAACATAAAATAGACCAGTAAATAGAGCTTTTGATTGCTTTTGAAAACACTATCAGTTGGGTTTAGGGAAGGAGGACGGTGGGTCAGTTGATCAGTCAGTCAGTCAGTCGACAGCGGCCTCTGGTGAATTTATGCAAGAAGAGCAGAAATTTGTGATCTCAAAAAGCGTACACAGCAGCCTCTGGTGGATGCTCCTGGGATGTATTTGGCGCTCTCCAGAAATGTATATAAGGGTACGTAATTAAAATGAACCTGGGTTGCAAAGAACAAGGCATTTTTTATGGTACACTCTCAGAAATAAAGGTAAGACTTGTCACTGGGGTAATACCTTTTTGAAAGGTAAACACTTGTACCTAAAAGGTCCATATTAATACCCTTAGGGTACATAATTGTACCTAAAATGTACAAAAGTGTTCCTCTTAATATTTTTAGGTACTAATATATACTTTTAAGGTACCAATATGGACTTTTCAAGAACAAATGTGTACCTTTTGAAAAGGTACCACCAAAGTGACAACTTGCGTACCTTTATTTCTGAGAGTGTATACAGGTTCTGTTTTAGGACCTCTGCTCTTTTAATTATACTATAAATGTTACCTTTCGGTTGTTTGATCTAAATAGTTTTTTTTATGTTTTTAAAGGTTTTTAATTTTGACATTTTTGAACTGTAATGCTGCGTTCACACCAGACGCGGCATGTGCGCGAGTGATTTACATGTTAAGTCAATGCAAACGCGCGAATAGACATCCTGTGGCGCGATACGCACGAATGACGAGAATTGCGCGGTGCGCATGGCGCGAATTGAGCGTTTTGCGCGTTTGATGCGCTTAATGCGCGTTTCGCTCGAATCACTCGCGTTCGAAAATCTGAACTTCAGCGGACATTCGCGCCGCGTTAACCAATCAGGAGCTTGCTCTTGTGGGGGAGTGATTGTGACGTATCGCTTGTTGTCGGTGTCCCAGGGGAAATCCCCCAGCAGACACCGACAAGAAGTTCATCAAACTGGGCTTGGCTCAGTCAGAAGCACCGCTGAAAACCTCCATCAGCCAGGTTCAGTTTCTGGAGGAGTTTATGAGCTCACAGAGCTGGATGCACCTCTGAAAGGATGTAGTGGACTCAAACACAACTCTAAACGTATCGACGCTGTTTATCATCCTTCATAAAGCACATAAACACTGTTATTTTCTTCATAAAATCCATGTTAGCCCTTTAGCTATGAAGCTAGAGTCATGGGGCAGACAGAAGCCCTGCCCATCACGCGAATCCGCGTCTGTTTTGTAGTGAATTTGACGCGCGAATGAAGCAAGTAACCTCAAATGTTTACGTGACTAATTACGCGCGAATAACGCGATTTATCCGTGCGTTCCGCGTCTGGTGTGAACACAGCATAAAGTTTAATGTTGTATAAACAACCTGAGACTGAAATGCTGAACTTCAGGATTCATTTTATTTAAAGTCTATTCATTATTTTTTGTCCTTTTACTTTGATGTTTGTTCTGTTGTGAGGAACACATTAAACCAACTAGCTCACCCACATCTCGATGCCGACTGTCCTGGCTTTAACCTGCAAATCCTTCAACACAGGACCACTTGGGGAAAAGCAATTATTCTAAAGCAGAGCCCCTCAAAAAGTGCCCATCAACACATTTCAGAACTAAAAGCCGCTGATAACTTTTTGGTATAGTAGTTTAATGTAGTTTAAGAAATATTCAAGAAGAGGTTGAACGATTTTGATCAGCTTTTCTTGTCATAAACCCAAAAATCCACTCATTTCTGTGGCAGAATGTGATTTTTTCTTACTTGGTGTACACCATGGTTCTGTTTTAGGACCTCAGCTATTTTTCAGTCATTCATTCATTCATTTTCTTCTCGGCTTAGTCCCTTTATTAATCTGGGGTTGCCACAGCAGAATAAACCGCCAACTTATCCAGCATATATTTTATGCATCGGATGCCCTTCCAGCTGCAACCCATCTCTGGGAAACATCCATACACACTCATTCAGACTATTACATTACAGACAATTTAGCCTACCCAATTCACCTCTACCACGTCTTTTGACTGGAGAAGAAACCCACACGAACGCAGGAAGAACATGCAAACTCCACACAGAAACGCCAACTGACTCAGCCGAGGCTCAAACCAGTGGCCTTCTTGCTGTGAGCCAACAGCACTATCTACTGCGCCACCGCGTCGCACCTCTGCTATTTTTACTTTAATATGATGTTTTTAAGACTGAAGTGTTGGATAATAATGTTTTACTTCTCTATTTACTCTAGTTGTTCAATTCGGCAATATATTATGAATTAAATATTTCATTTTCCAAAATTATTACATGCACGTTGTCATTGGGGTCCTTCTCTAGATTTTTGGGGGTAGATTTTAACATTTTTTGGATTGTAATAGTTCAAATGTTTTAAAAAAAGGAACTGACTGTAGATCAATATTAGATTACTGTGCAGGTCATGTCATAACATGATGACACTTCTGGTGTCCTTGCAAGGTGCCAGGCTGCTTGAGGGTTTCAATGTGACGCTCAGCCTTTTCAGTACGACTCCCCATCAATCATATGTCATTGTGTGCTTTCGGTAGCGATGCCACCCACAGTGAGCGCCATTATGAAATCAAGTGAACCCTGCGGTGGGGCACCATTTTAGCTGAACAGATCTTCAATGGTGAATGTCACAGGGCTTTGTGAAGGTGTGGACACTGGGTTTTTCACCACGCTTCAGACATGAGCTTATTTTAGGGTGGGGGAACGTCATGTACCTCAGTTTTACTGCCTTAAAGTGTCCCTCTCATGCTCTCACCCGGTCATAACATGAGCCCGGACTCGACGTAGCACAGGATTCCAGGCCTTCCGTTAGCTGCGATGCTAAAATTGGCACGCTGACCCCTGTGAAATGTATTCTGGGAATATGTTGTCTTTCACTTTGCCTTATGCGGCCAGCGCAGAACACTACTTTATGAATATCTCACACTTGTGACAAGAAGCTCCTCTTTCCTTCATGCGCAACGTTGAGCTCTCTAATGCATTACATTTGAAGCTCAAAAAATGGCCGGTGTAGGGTAAAGAAGATATACATTACACTCTTGTCTAATTCACGCTTAAAAAATGCAAAAACATAACATAAGACATACTTTCACATTAATTTGCTTAAAAAGAAATTAACTAACGTGTTTAGTTACTTTAATAAAGTGAATTAAGATTATTTTATCTCTGCCACGATGACAGTACATAATATCTCACTGGATATTTTTCAACATGCTAGTATTCAGCTTAAAATACAATTTAAACTAGGGCCCCGTTTACACTAGTGCGTTTTAGTTTGAAAACAGCGTTTTAGATAAAAACGATCCGCGTCCACACTAGCGTTTCTGAACACATCTCCGTCCACACTACGCTACCAAAAACGTATATCACGTGACCATTCGCGCACTCTGGGCATGCGCGTTCTAGTAAACAGGAAGCATGTGTCTCGCTCGGCATTTTGCTATTGTTTGTCAATAAACGCCGGTTGAACAATGAACGCGATGGCAAAGAAAGCAGGAGAGGTAGTTTTGTGGACAGACGACGAGGTCGAGTTGTTACTAAACGTAACAAATGAATAACTGCACAATGGCGCCTAAAACAGACAATAGTGCAAACAACGCTCCCATTTCTGTGTCCATGTTGTTGTTTACAGTGAAGGCTGGTCTGCTGTCTTCCGAAAGCATTAAAGCCATGTGTTATAGTCATGTGATAGGGGCTTGACGAATAAGGGAAGGATACGCAATGACACAAAAGCTCCAATCAGGTAGCGAATCTCAGCAGCCCCGCCTCCGTTTTCAGATGTCTCCGTTTTCCCCCATCCACACTGAGACGAGCAGCAGCGCTTCAGAATGAAAACGGGCTCTCCAGCGTTTCCTAAACGCTCCGTTTTCGGTGCTCGAAAACTCTGGCGTAGTGTGGACGGATGGCGTAACCGTAGCAAAACTTATGCGTTTTCAAACTAAAACGCATTAGTGTAAACAATGCCTAGGTTTATTAGGTTAAAGCTATGGTAATAAGTAACCCAGGCTTATTCTGAATACGTAGCCTTATGCTGCGTTCACACCAGACGTGGAATGCGTGTCAAGCGCGAGTGATTTACATGTTAAGTCAATGCAAACGCGCGAATAGACACCCTGCGGCGCGAATGACGTGAATTGCGTGAATGGCGCGGTGCGAATGGCACGATACGTGCGAATGGCGTGTCGCGAATTGAGCATTTTGCGCGTCCCTGCTGAAAAATCCAGCTTAAACCAGCCTAGGCTGGTTGGCTGGTTTTAGCTGGTTGACCAGCCTGGTTTTAGAGGGGTTTTGGCCATTTCCAGGCTGGTTTCCTGCCATTTCCAGCCTGGTCTTAGCTGGTCAGGCTGGAAAATGACCAGCT